AGATCATTCCAGCAAAGGCTTTGTCGAGCTGGGCCTTAAAAACCTCCAAAGATGGAGATTCCACCACCTCTCCAGGAAACCCATTCCAGTGGTTCACCACCCTCTGAGTGAGAAAGTTTTTCCTAATATCCAACCTAAACCTCCCTTGCTGCAGCTTGAGATTGTTGCTCCTTGTTCTGTCACCTGCCACCACCGAAAACAGTCCAGCTCCATCCTCATTCGAACCCCACTTCAGGGAGTTCATGGTTGCTATAAAATCCCCCTCAGTCTTCCCTTCTCCAAACTAAATAAACCCAGTTCCCTCAGCCGTTCCTCGTAAGACATGTGCCCCAGCTCTTAAACCATTTTTCTCTCCAACTTGTCCACATCCTTTCTATAGTGGGGAACCCAAAACTGGACACAGTACTCCAGATGAGATCTCACCAGTGCAGAATAGAGGGAAATAATTACTTCCCTTGATCTGCTAGCAATACTTCTCTTAATACAGCCCAGTAAGCTGTTAGCCTTCTTTGCAAAAAGGCACGGTGTTGACTCATATACAATCCTCCAATGTGTCTAGATCACACTGAATCCTAGCCCTAACCTCCAACATATCTACTACATCCCCCAACCTTGAGTAATCCACAAACTTGCTGAGGGTGCACTCCATTTCAATCTTCCATTAATAAAGATATTGAACAAACCTGGCCCCAGGACCAACCCCTGGAGCACTCCACTTGATACCAGCTGCCAACTAGACCACGAGCCATTGATCACTACCTGTTGTGCCCGAAAATCCAGCCAGCAATCCAATTTATAATCCATTCATCCCACCCATACTTCCTCAACTTGCTTGCAAGAATGGTGTGGCAGACCGTTATCAAAAACCTTGCTAAAATCAAGGTATATCATGTCCACTACTTTCCCCACATCCACAGAACCAGTTACCTCAACATAGAAGGCAATCAGGCTTTTCAAGCGTAACTTGCCCTTGGTGAATCTATGTTGACTGTCAAGGCCATCCCTAGGAGGGGGTGTGAGGGTGGAAATCGGGGCAATTGCCCCAGGCCGTGCACTTTGCGGGGCCCCGTGGAGCTAGGTGGAGAGACCACGGCTGCCATGTTCAAAGTTTGGCCTACCCTGCCGCCCGGCAGGTTGCATGCGTCTTTGCCTGTTCCAGCCGGAAGTTCTGACCGCCATCCATCCCACCACATCCGGTGTGCCAGGACTTTCACTCCCCAGCATAAGTGTGCCGTGCAACAAGGAGGGGGGCCTCACACAGGCTGCTTTGCCTTGGGCCCTGCACCTTGCGGGGATTGTTTCTGCTGACTGTTCCTGATGACTTTGTTCTCCTCCAAGTGCTTAGAAATAGATATCTTGAAAACCTGCTCCATGATTTTTCCAGGGACTGAGCTAAGGACGATTGGTCTGTGGTTCCCCGGATCCTCCTTCTTCCCTTTCTTAAAGATGGGCAGCACTATATTTGGCCACAATCCAATCCGGAGCTCCAGACTGGGTTTCTGCCTCGACCCAGCCAAAGTGGCTCCGAAGCTTTGGAGCCGCCTTGGAGATCCAGCCATAGGGTATAATGGGGAATCAATGAAATATCTATAACTTTGTTGCTTTTTGTCCTATTTGGATGACACTTGCAGAGATGGTAGCCTCTGCTGAGAGCATGACCCCTGCCAAGCTTCAAGAAGATTGGTGCAGGGGTTTGGAGGGAACTGTACCCCAAATTCTTGAAAGCCAAACTCATGTCACAGCTGTGTGTTACAACACCGGGGTGGGGGGGTCAAAACGGCAGGGCTGGTAGCTCTTACTGAGGCCACAGAGCCTGCCAAGTTTCAAGGAGATCAGTGCAGGGGTTTGGGGGAAACTGCCCCTCAAGCTGTGGACAAGCAAAACTCGTGCCATGGGTGACACTGCGTGTGTTAAGGCGCAGCGGGGTGACAGCTGCAGGGATGGTGGCCCCTGCTGAGGCCATGACGCCGGCCAGCTGTTGAGGAGATCAGTGCAGGGGGGTTCTGGGGCCCTGCACCCCTAGCTGCTGACAGGCAACACTCGTGCCAAGACTGTCTGTCTTGGGGCAGTTGAGTGTATTGATTCTTTCCTCTCCTTAACGAGCATTAATTAGCACCTACAAAACCAGGCTAAGTAGTTATGTAGTAGGTAGGTCCTGTGTACTGAGCTGGTCCCCGAGTCCCTGGTCCCTGGTCCCATGATTGATTGATTGGTAACTGGGAACACAGCAGCTTAGCAGCCAGGCCTGCAGCACTGTCTCCCCTCCCGCCCCAAGGCAGACACAGTCAGTCCAACGAGAACCCATGGCATGAGCTTTGCTTGTCTGCAGCTTGAGGGGCAGTTCCCCCCAAACCTCTGCACCGATCTTCTTGAAACTTGGCACACTTTGTGGCCTCAGTACGACCTACCATCCCTGCAGTTTTGATCTCCCTGTGTTGTAACACTTAGATGTGACAGGAGTTTTGCTTTCAATATTTTGGGGTACAGTTGCCACAAAATTCCTGCACCAATCTTCTTGAAACTTGTCAGACTTCGTGGCCTTAGTAAGACCTACCAGCCCTGCAGTTTTCACCCTGCTATGTTATAACACCTAGACGTGACGTGACTTTTGCTTTCAAATCCCTTCACCAATCTTTTTATAACTTGGAAGTCTTCATGCTCTCTACAGAGTCTACCATCCCTGAAAATTTCATCCAAATTGGACAAAAAACAACAAAGTTATAGATATTTTATTGTTTCCCCATTATACCCTATGGCCGGATCTCCAAGGCGGCTCCGAGGCACTTTGGGATGCCGAACAAGGCAGCACTTCACCCCGGATGTGCTGCTTCGCACCACGAAGCATCCCAAGCTTCTCTAGATCCGAAGCTCTGTCCGAAGCCTCGCACAGCCGTACTGCCCAGCGCGGTAGTCTGGGAGCTGACCTTGCCTGTAAAGACCGAGGTAAAAAAGTCATCGAGTACTTCAGCCTTTTCATCATCATCTGTTGCTAGATTGTCTTCCCGATTCAGTAAAGGACCCATACTGTCCCTGATTTTCCTCTTGTTGCTAACATACTTATAGAAACCTTCTTGTTACCTTTCATGTCCCTTGTTAGCTGTAACTGCAGTTGCACTTTGGCCTTTCTGATGGCCCTGCATACCCGAGCAATGCTTATACTCCTCCCTAGTCGACTGTCCAAGCTTCCACTTCTTGTAAGCTTCCTTTTTCTGTTTAAGATCACGGAACGAGTTCCCTGCTAAGCTAAGCTGGTCACCTGCCATATTTCCTGTTCTTCCTGCACCTCGGGATGGTTTGCTCCTGCACTCTCAGTAAGCTTTCTTTAAAATACAGCCAGGTCTCCTGGACTCCTTTCCCCCTCAGACTGGTTTCCCAGGGGATCCTGCCCATCAGTTCCCTGAGAGAGTCAAAGTCTGCTTTTCTGAAGCCCAGAGTCCTTACTCTGCTGCTCTCCTTCCTTCCTCTCCTCAGGATCCTGAACTCAATCATCTCATGGTTGCTGCTGCCCAAGTTGCCATCCACTTCTACATTCCCCGCCAATTCTTCCCAGTTTGTGAGCAGCAGGTCAAGAAGAGCACAGCCCCTAGTAACTCTCCAGCACTTGCACCGGGAAGTTGTGCCCAACACTCTCCAAAAACTTCCTGGATTGCCTGCACACTGCTGTACTTCCCTCCCAGCAGATGTCAGGATGATTGAAGTCCCCCAGAGAACCAGGGCCAATGATCTGGAAACTTCCACTAGTTGTCTGAAGAAAGCCTCATCCACCTCATCCTCCTGGTCGGGTGGTCTATAGCAGACCCCCACCACGACATCACTCTTGTTGCTCTCCCCTGTAACCTTAATCCAGAGATTTTTGCCAGGCCTATCTCCAGTTTCATACTGGAGCTCTGAGCAGTCATACAGCTCTTTTACATAATACATAACACCTCCTCCTCTTCTCCCCTGCCTGTCCTTCCTGAACAGTTTGTACCCATCTATGACCATGCTCCAGTCATGCGAGCTCCCACCTAGTCTCTGTTATTCAGATCACATCATAGTTCCATGATTGTGTGAGGACTTCCATGATTGTGTTCTTCGTGCTTGTTTCCCAGGCTCCATTTGTTTGTGTGCAGACACTTGAGATAACTAGCTGATTTCCCTACTTTGTCAGGAACAATGAGGAGGTCTTCTCTGTTGCCCCCTCTTCCTTGCATTTCCTCCAGGTCTTCTGCTTCCTCACTTACCTCAGGGCTTTGGTCTCCATCTTTGGCAAACCTAGTTTAAAGTCCTCCACACTAGGTTAGTGAGCCTGTCTGCAAAGGTGCTCTTCCTTCTCTTCATCAGGTGGAACCCATCTCTTCCTAGCAATCCTTTTTCTTGGAACAACAGCTCATGGTCAAAGAAGCCGAATCCCTGTTAGCAACACGACCTGTGAAGCCATGCATTGATATGCAGGATGTGTCCACTCCTGCTAGGGCCCTTTCCCCTTGAACAAAAAGATTGAGGAGAACACCACCTGTTCCCCTGTTTCTTTCACCCTTGCACCTAAGGCCTTGTAGTCACTCTTGATATGCTCAGGGTCACCCCTGGCAGTATTATTGGTGCCCACATGGATAAGCAGCATGGGGTAGTGGTCAGAGGGCTGGACAAGTGGTGGTAATCCTTCCATGACATCTCAGATCCAGGCTCCAGGTAAGCAGTAGACCTCCCGGGACAGCAGGTCAAGCCAGCAGGCAGGGTTGCCAACCCTCCAGGATTGCCTGGGAGTCTCTAGGAATTAGATATAAATCTCCAGGAGACTGCTGAGAGTCACATGGAGATAAATGATAGGGCATTCATTGAAATAAATTTTAAATGTTGAATCTGATTTATACAGTAGTCCAGTGGGCTTTTACAATGTGATAGTAATGTGCATTTGCCTTCCTGATGTAACGTCTATGTACCATATGTAATGATATATGGAATTCACACGGGCACATTCGAGTTGTATATCACAGGCACGTTCATGTTCTCTCTCACAGGCACGTCGGTGTTGTGTTGTAGGCACGTTAACATTGTCTCTTTAGTCTACTAATTATGCTATACTGCAACTGCCTCACACTTTCAAAAAAACAACAACCCGGAAATGACTGATGATGAGGGACTTCTATAAGGTAAATACAATAAGAGTTGATTTTAAGTTTAATTCATGAGTTTTTGCTGTATCTGTCATGTTATAATGGTATTAGAATGTTATTTAATTTCTGTATTTTTAAATAATGCACACAAACATTTAAATGTGTGTTTACAAGCAAAGTATCCCTAATCAGATATCACTTTTTAAAAAATAAAATTCATGTTATAATTTGAGATTTTTCAGCATTGCTTATTTAGGCAATATGCTTAAAATGTGAAATTATGATTCATATGATGCTCCTTGTATCCACCGAAGGCAAAATGATGGCTCCATAGTGAGTGAGTTTTAGAGTACAGTAGATTAGTCATTAATGTCATTACACCATATGATGAAACTTCCTGGAATAGATTCAGAGTTGGCAACCCTACCAGCAGATGGATCCCTAGTTGAGGTTCCATCCCTGGATTAGGAATCCAGAATCTGTTCTTGACCAGGCCTTTGATGCCCTGTGGGATACTGGGTAAGTCACTTAGGCCAATGATTCCACAAGTGGCCACTGTATTTGGTTGTGTCTCTTTTTTAGTACTTGTCGTGAGACCCTAGCTGGGGTCCTGATGCTCAGGAAGGATGAGTTCCTGCAACTGCTGTACATTTGGGTGGCAGAGTACCCCAACAGGAAGGCGTGCAAAATCAGCACTCCCTATCAAAAAAGGTCATCCTGTCCTGTTCTGTGCCTTAGTTTCCCCATCTGTGAAACAGAAAGAACTAAAGCTCATTCCCATGTAGGTGAGCAGCTTGGAGGCCCATGGATGTACAGTGCTACCTGACTTGCTGGGGAAGTGGAATGGAGTTGTATGCAGCTATACATAGAAGTAGGTTCACTAGGAGGTAGGCTGGAAGCAATTAACTGGGGAAATGCCCCTAAATGGACTTAGTTTGCAGCCCTAGGGACTGGAGCTATATGTTCAGGTAGTAGGAACTTAATCTAAAGTGCACTGAGACTGTTTTGCTGGGGACAGGCAGGGAGTGCTCTGTGAGTGTAGAATCAAACTGGCTGGATGCCTGTGCCAGTACTGATCAGAGCCCACAGCACCATATTTCAAAACCTGTGCAGATCACACCTCTCTGGAGTGTGAGACCAGTGAATTGGTCAGTAATGCTCCCCTCCCCTACCCCTAGGAAAGGTCAGTGGGCCAAAGCAGCATCCTAGGTGAGGTATTCTGAGCCAGTGCTCATTTGTGGAATAGCGGAGGCTTGGTAATTGCTGTCTCAGAGACGAGTCCAGTTTGTCATAGAGTGATCTGCATCCAGACAGATCCATGCCTAGGAGAAATCACCCATGTATGTTAATAAAACAAGCAGAGTGGGAAAGTTATGCAAACAAGTGAACATAATGAGCCTAATGCACACTTCACAGCCTGCAAAGATGGTGCTGGTGGAATGTTTCCAGTGCCTGAGTTTCAGAGTTGCCCTGGGAACCAACAACACAGTCACAGGCAGATAAGAACAAGGGCTCTGCTGTGCTGTATCACATCAGGGGCCCTTCTGCCCCTGTCCTGCCCCAGTAGAAGGCAGCATATGATGCTGACATATCAAAACCCTGCAGTCATGGGATAAATTGCCTCTCAGAGAAGGTTGTCTAGTGGCTTCTCTTGGAGGCTGCTAACACAGGGTAATTTGTGCTACTGGAGAAGCCTGCTTTGGCTCTGCTGAGCCAGGAGTGAGGGGGGTGGGGGGTGACAGCTGGCCCTGACAGTGGCTGGAAGGAAATTTCTCTCAGGCCCAGTGCAATTTCTGCACAGGTCTTGGTCACCTATTTTGGGAGCACTTTTTGGCTTACAAGTTGTGCCATGCTTTCCCCTTGTCTTTGTATCCCCACTATCAGCTAAGACATCTGGGAGGCACTGGAAGAGGCCGAAAAGAGGGGCTAGCAAGGTAGAGCAGCCATCTGAGTGGTCCCTCCATTCAAGTGGTGACAGTGAGAGGCTGCAGGCCATGGCAGCCAGCTTTCCCAGTCTGGACTTCATCTAGGCTGAAATCAAGCAGTAAATCACCCAGTGAGGGATTTGAAGCCGCTCAGGGATGGAGAGATCACCTCACAGAGGGGACAAGACGGATGTATTCTGAGGTATCTCTGTCTTGCACCATCCATTTTCTGACAATGGGAACTCTGAGGCCGGAAGATAGAAGTTGGAGCCACTTTGCACCCAGCCTCAGGCTGTGAGTATAGAGTCTTTGGGGAGAGCATATAGGCTTTTATTGCTTTATTTAGGGATCTGTGGCCCACACTTCCTTTGAGAGGAAGTTTCCCTTAGTTTTAGCCCTCCTAAATGAAGCTTGGGTGTTTCCTTTCTTTCACTGCCACACGTCCCTGAGGGCATTAACGAAATCAACCCCAAGGGGTCCTCAAATACATCCCAACCTGGATAGTGACATCTATACAGGCAGATTCTCGGACTTAGGACACAATTGGTTCCTGAAAACCACCTCTTAAGTCGAAATATTGTAACTCGGAACTGATTTTCCCATAGGAAACAATGTCATAAATAGGGGATTGGTTCCTGAACCAAGGCCCGATACCCTATTTTCACCAAAAATAACCCAGAATTTTGTATTCAATCAATTATAGATGAGTAATATAGCTACATTAATGTATATATATTGTAAATAGCAATCACATTGATTTGGAAGGACTTCTTCGAGGTGACTTTGCTGGACTTTTTGAAGGGCTCTTGGTTGGAGTCTTCTCAGGAGTCTTGGCTGCAGGTTTTTCTGGAGTCTTGTCTGCTTTCTTAAAAAAAGTGTCCAAGGAAATTTGGACAGATGTTCTCCAGGGAGACGGGCAACACAATGAACTTGCTCACTGGCATGGCGTGGTGTCAGATTAAGCGTTGTGAAGTGAAAACTAACATCAGAAAGTTGAAACGGTGTCAATTTATAAACGTTGTAAGTACAAAACATTGTAACTCGAAACATTGTAAGTCAAGGACTGCCTGTACCTTTGTAAGGAACAAAGAGGCAGAAACATTTCCCTTGAGTCCTGGGACTGCTTGGTAAATCAATGATTTGAAGAAAGAGGGGAGGAGTGAAACCTCTTTGGGCCTGAATGGGAGCTGGCAGGCCTGCAGGAAACTGTGGGTTCTGAGCTCCTAGACATCCAGGCCCCACTATGGGCACTGAGCCCTTGGGAATCTGGTCCTGATTATTGGGCTAGGGACAGACATTACACATAAACCAGTTTAAGCGATCAGAAACGGGTTTAAACATGTAACAGAACATAAGTTCATTGTACATAAACAAGTTTCAAAATGGCTGAAACTGGTTTAAAATAAACTTGGTTGAATGTAGTATTAGACTTAACTGATTTGGCTTAAATCAGTTTATGCAATGAAACCAGAGTTCCCCAGCATCCCAGATGCTTTGCAGCCCTGGGCTGTGGTGTCTGCTTCAGAGAACAGGACTTGCCTCGCCCTTCTGCTCTCTAGCCAGAGCTCCCACAGAGGTTGCAGGCACAGTAGCAGGGTCTGCCTGGCTCCCCCTGCACCCCCGCTTGCTGCTCAAGTAGGGATTCTGCCCCCTCCACCCCGCCCCATCTCCCACTGCACTGATCCCAGCCCCGCGGACCCTAGGCATGTGGTATGCTAGCTAATGCTGAGAGGTGTCTGTGTGTGTGTTTGTCTCCAATTTCACTGGGACAGGCAGACAGAACAGTGTCCACTTAGGGCTTTTTGGAGCCAGCAGGTTAGCTGGTAATGTCCCTCTATTCCTTCCTGGGAAAAAGCTGTTTAAGAAGAACTTGAACTAATGAGAGAAACTTTTGTTTTGTTGATGGGCTAATAAATGCTGTGTTATCAGCCCCCTGCTGGCTCCCTTGCTTGTCAGGTTTGCAGACAGTGTGAAGAAGGTGGGAGAGGGAGATTGAAAAGCTCAGTATCAGCAACACATGCATGCACTGCACAACACTGCTTTGCCTCAGAGTGCTAGCCCGGGGCTGGGCTCTGGCAACACTCCTGCCCCTTGAGCAGCGAGTAGGGAAAAGCTTGGGACAGTGCAGGTCAGGGTGGAGGTTTACACCCTTCCCTAATCAGGGCATCCTGCCGGGGCCTGGTCATGCCTCCCCCTCAGTTCAGCGCTGTGGAAGGGATGGGACAGCTGCTCTAGCGCCTCCCAGCTTCTAGTCTGAGCCACTGCAGGCATGTGCCGACATTTCCTCAGTCCAGAGAGAATGTCTGTGAAGTTTGCAAACCAGTTCAACCTAGGCAGGTTAGACTAACCTGCAAAGATTGAATCAATTCAGGCTCAGGCTTTTTGAATGTCTGTCCCTAGCCCTGGTGTCCATCAGTGTCTGAAAAAATCAGCCCCATTTGTGGTGATTCAGGTTAATTTCTGAGGCCTACAAAGTCCCTGAACCTGACCCTGATCTGACTCATGCTACTTCAGTAAATCTGGAGTGACTCCATGAAAGACATTGGATATCTTGCCAGTAGGACAGGGTTTAGAAATTGTGTCTGAGGTCTTGTCAGTAAATGCTTGGTACATGTAAATGCTTGGTCTATGTTTGGCAATGAAAATGGTTAGGGGGTTGGGACACATGCCTTATGATGAGAGGCTGAGGGAACTGAAAGCTGATACAAGAGACTCTGTGGGCACTTTAATTAGAGCAGTGTCTCCACACTAACTAAAGCTTAAGTGATGAACTTTCCTGATGCCATTTTGTAAAGTGCCCCACTGCCATTTTGAAGTGTGGGAACGCTGATACATGAGACTCGGAAACTGGTGGAGTGCACTAATTAGCACACTCTAGTATACTTAGTTAATTGAGTCTTCTCCAGTGTGCAGTAATTACAGCTGATCATCAGAGCAGCCTCCCTGCAAGTCTACAGGCACCCATTTAGTCTGGAGAAGAGAAAGCTGGTAGGAGATTTAATAGCAGCCGTCAACTACCTGAAGAGTGGTTACAAAGAAGATGGAGCTAGACTGTTCTCAGTGGTGACAGATGACAGAACAAGGAGCAATGGTCTCTGGTTGCACCAAGGA